AGCTCAGGTGCCGGGCCCGGGGCGGGGGGAGCAGTGAGGCCCTCAGCAGCCTCCTTAACCAGAGAGGCCTCCAAGGGAGCAAGCAGCAGGTCATGAGGCCCTGCCCGCCACCACCAGGCCACTCACCAGGTTCTTGGTCACCGACTCGTCCTTCATCCAGGCTGACAGGTTCCTGAGGGCCAGGTTGATCTCGTCCTGGACCATGGCGATCTCAGACACCTCTGCTTCCACAGCTGACTGCGAGAAAGGACAGTCGGCACTCGTGAGCAGGGGGCCGCAGCCTCCTCCAGTCAAGGCAGCTGTCTCTCCTCCACTCACTCACTCTTTTACTCATCCATTCATTCATTCCCTCACTCCATGCTCAGTGAGGAGGAGGTGACATTGCAGAGACAGCCAGCAAGTTCAGGAGCTCATGGAGTGACGGGTGCTGTGGAGACTGTTGGACAGGGTGAGGAGGCAGAGGCCCCTGGAGTGTGTGAGGGTGAGGGTGTGCGGGTGTGCAGGTTTGCATGTGTGTGCGCATGCGTGTGTGTGCTGGGTACAGACGGTCACTGCAGGCCTCTGGGATGAGATGACAGCTGAGCGGTGTCCGAAGAGAAGGAAGGATGGAGCCCGTGGCTAGCTACAGGCAGAATGTCCTGGGCAGAGGTCTCAGAAGGTGCCCAGGCGGTGGGGACACAGGCTTGCCCTGTTCCTTAGTAAGGATGGAGGGACAAGGCACTGGGTCTGGGAGGCCGGGTGAGGGCTGCAGAGCCTGGGGCACCGCATGTGGCTCATGTTTCACAGCACTGTGTGGCCTGCGGGGCCCACTGCGTGACAGTGGCTCTGAAGGGGACATGACACAGCCCTCCCTGGGCAAATGCCATCTGTTCTCACAGCCCAGGGCCACCGTCAGGCTTCCAGGGCAGGAGTGAGACTGAGACATGCACCATGGGGACACCGTGCTCTTCTTCCCCTCCCCAGGGAGCAGAGACTCGGCCAGTGCGGGCAGCTGGAGCCACCATCAGGGACCCCAGAGCCAGGGCCTCCCTGCCTGACACACTGCAGTGACGTCTCACACTCTGGTGTGTTAGAGCAGGACCATTGGGCCTGAAAGGTGAGGGACAGCCCAGAGGGTGAACAAGGCCCAGAGTAGGAGATACCCCCATCCATGGTCACCAGCATAAGGGTGGCAAGGCCAGGGCCAGAGCCGGCCACTGGGGGAGAGCGTGTGACTCTGAAGACCCATCCACCAGTGCTTCCTGGTCAGAGCCTGGGCTGAAGCTGCTTCTAGTCACACCTGTGCCCACAGTCCAGGCCTCTACCTGAGAGCCACCTGGTACCTGAGTGAGGTTGGTGCTGCTTACCAGGCGACCCAGAGCAGATGAACCATGATATGGAAGAGTGGGCTCCTTGGAGCCAGTTCACACCCTGCCCTGCCGTTCATGGCAATGTGGCCCTGGGTCAGAATGTGGCCTCTCTGAGCTTCCTCTGAGGTTCACTGCATGTGATCACCCCTGGTAGGTGGGTGTCGGGGCTCAATGAGAGCATCAGCAGCTCTGGGCCCCTGTCACCTGCTGAGGGGAACAGTGGGCTGGCCAAGACCGGAGGGAGGGACTTGAGCTCTCTGGGCTGCTGCTCCCTGTGGGCCCCGGGCTCCTGGAACTGGCTGGGAAGGGGGGAGGTGAAATCTGAGCAGAAGGCGGAAAGGAACCAGACAGGCCAGTCGGGCCCAGGCAGCTCAGTGTTGTGAGGGGTCAGTCCCTGTGAGCCCAGCAGCTGAGCAGGGCCTGGACACTGGCTTGGAGGTGCCAGCAGGGGACATTTTGTCAGGAGAGGAGGCCCAGGTAGAGCTCTCCTGGGACAGGGCAGGCTCACCGTGAGCCCGTCAATAAGAGTTGGGGGCTGGCTGTAGGGTGTTACTTCTTGGGGTTCCAAGGTGGTTTTTGCCGGAATTGGAGGGGCAGAGGCCTGTATGCCCACTGAACCCAGGATGAAACCCAAGTTCTCATTGGCCTATAGGCCTCTGTGGGGAGACCTACCTCCCAGACCTCGTCTTTGTCTCTGCCTCTCCCACCCTGAGTGCTGACCTTGCTGCTCCGAAAGGGCAAACACACCAAGCACCTCCCGCCCCGGGCCCCTGGCTGTCTCCCCCATGTCCACATGGCTCTTTCCACCTCCTCTTTCCAGTCTCCACTCTAACGTCCCTTGTCTGAGAAACCTTCCCCACATAGAAACCCACACCTGATCTTGGCGGCTTCTCTCCCTCCTCACACCGGGAGTGTCTCTGTGCCCTCTAATACCAGCCATCCTGCCAGGTATTCATCCACTGATGCCCAGTCTCCCCCAGGAGGTCGGCTCCTCAGACCTGGGACTTTGTTGTTCTCAGCTGTTCCCCAGAGCCGAGACCCCTAGCTGCACATAGTAGGTGCTCAACAAATAGTTGTTAATGGCTGGAGGCGGGGGTGAATGGGTGGAAGC